AGTTTGTATCTCCGATGAAAACATGTAAGAACAAATCTTAGAGCGTTTGTGTTTTTGATCTTTCATCTATTAAGTTCTGAACACTGACCTGTTGGTCGCTAGGACCAGAGGATGAGTTTGCTTTGTTCCTTTGCGCGGGCTCCTTGCTGCAGTGGTCCGGGAAACCCCAGCAGCTGCTCCCCTGACAATTACCACCCTTCCTCCCAGACACCCACCTCTAACGATCTGCAAAAAAGGATGTGTGGCCTTTTTAAAAAAACAAAATATCTCAAAGGCACCAGGCCCAGATGGTGTGACCCCCCCTCCTGCCTGAAAGTGTGTGCCAATCAGCTGGCCCCCATCTTCACACTTATCTTCAACAGGTCACTGGAGCTGTATGAAGTCTCCTCCTGCTTCAAATGCTCCATGATCATCCGAGTCCCCAAGAAATCCTCCATCAGTGGACTGAATGACTACAGACCTGTCGCCCTGACATCTGTGGTTATGAAGTCCCTTGAGAGACTAGTGTTGGCCCACCCGAAGGAACTCATAAACCCCCTGCTGTACCCCATGCAGTTTGCCCACCAGGCAAACAGGTCAGTGGACAATGCAGTCAACATGGCACTGCATTACATTCTGCAACACCTCGACCCCCCAGGGACCTATGTACGGGCCCTTTTGGTTGACTTCAGTTCAACACCATCATCCCGTACATCCTCCACTCCAAACTGACCCAGCTCACTGTACCTACCCGCAACTATCAGTGGATCACCAGCTTTCTGACAGACAAAAAGCAACAGGTGCGGCTGGGGAAAACCACATCCAGCACCCGGACAATCAGAACAGGCACCCCCCAGGGATGTGTGTTCTGCCCTCTGCGGTTTTCACTCTACACCAAAAACTGCATCTTGGAGGACTGCTCTGTCAAGCTCCTAAAGTTTGCGCAGATGATACAACAGTCACTGGTTTCATCTGAGATGGTGGCAAGTCAGCCTACAGAAGGGAGGTTGAGCAGCTGGTGTATGGTGTAATCCTATGGTGTAATCGCAACAACCTAGAGCTGAACATGCTCAAAAGAGTGGAGATGACAGTGGACTTCAGGAAGAACCCCCCACCTTACCATACTCGGCAGCACTGTATCAGCAGTAGAGTCCCACAAGTTCCTGGGCTCCACTATCTCCCAGGACCTGAAGTGGTTGTCCAACATCAGTGCCACCATCAAAAAGGCACAGCAGAGGATGTACTTCCTGCACTAGCTCAGGAAGTTGCCCCAGGAGCTGCTGATACAGTTCTACAGAGGAATCATCGAGTCTGTTCTCCGCACCTCCATCACTGTCTGGTTTGGCTCAGCAACCAAACATGACAGGAACAGAGTCCAGTGGACAGTCAGGACTGCAGAAAAGATCATTGGTGCAAGCCTGGACCTGTACACCTCATGGGTCAAAAAGAGGGTGGAGAAGATTTCTGCACACCCCTCACACCCTGGACACAATCTGTTTGAACTCCTCCCCCCTGAACGGCACTACCGGTCACTGTGCGCCAAGACAACCAGGCACAAGGACAGTTTTTTTTCCCCCTTGGACCTGTACACCTCATGGGTCAAAAAGAGGGTGGAGAAGATTTCTGCACACCCCTCACACCCTGGACACAATCTGTTTGAACTCCTCCCCCCTGAACGGCACTACCGGTCACTGTGCGCCAAGACAACCAGGCACAAGGACAGTTTTTTTTCCCCCTAAGCCATCACTCTGATTAACACTTAACCCATGACAGTATGACTGGACAATAACCCTCTGCTGCCTCTGACCATCAAAGGGGCTGAGGTGGAGAGGGCTGACAGTCACAAGTTCCTGGGCCTGCCGGTGACGTGACCTGAGCTGGTCACTGAACACAGCTGCCACAGCGAAGAAAGCCCAGCAGGGCTATACTTCATCAGGCAGCTCAGAAAAGCTGGGCTGAACTGTCACCCTCTCACCCAGACTTAGAGAGAGTGTGGTTGTGAAACACGAGTAGTTCTGTAATGTTAATGTTCGGTAATGCAAATGAATAATCACACATTGTGAACTCAAGGATGTTTATAATAAAAACAATTGATCTCAAGAATTTTCAAGATGCTTCTGTTTCCTCAAATACACTGCGCAGATGATCCTCTATGCGCTATTTTTATTATTTCTACTTATTTCTTTATTTAATAATCCCAGCAAGTGAATGACCACATGATTCTGGTGTGTCATTAACAGGTAACTAAACATGCAGCAGAGCTTGTGAGTGACACACTTAAACCAAAGCGATACTTAACTCATGTGCTGATATTACTAAATTAGCTGCAGCGGTGTTTTACCTGAGAAATAGGTCAGAGAAATGACCTTTGCACAACCTTGCCGCCACGCATAAAACGACGTAGCTTTTACGTGCTTATAACGCAAATAACGCACCGACAGGAATCCCGGACTTTCATGTTGTCCCGATGTACGTTTGGTCGCTATGTTAAGTCGCCCGGAAGTATTGTGCACTTGTTAACTGGGTATCGAACCTACTAAATATACCAGTATAGATACTGGTTCGATTGGAACGGCACTGACCTACACCAGTCCCATGAAGCCTCCCCCACAAAACAGATTGTTTATCACGTTACTCGTTTCAAGAAACTGTTAAAAACAGTTTGTATCTCCGATGAAAACATGTAAGAACAAATCTTAGAGCGTTTGTGTTTTTGATCTTTCATCTATTAAGTTCTGAACACTGACCTGTTGGTCGCTAGGACCAGAGGATGAGTTTGCTTTGTTCCTTTGCGCGGGCTCCTTGCTGCAGTGGTCCGGGTCCTGGTTCACCTCATTCATTCCGATCCTGTCGTCGGCCTGGTCGATGAGATCCTGGTTCTCCTCCTTGATTTCGCTGTAGTAATGGTCCAGGGGAATGAAATCGGAGTCCTGGTTCTCCTCCTTTATTTCACTTTTGTAGTGAGCCTGGTGAATGAAATCTGGATCCTGATTCTCGTCCTTCATTCCGTCTTTGTAGTGGTCCTGGTTGATGTAATCCTGGTTTTCTTCTTTTACTGCGCTCTTGTAATCATGCTCCTGATTCTCTTCTTTAATCCCATTTGTGCAGTGGTCCTGCTTAACTAAATCCATGTTACAAATCTGCATTTATTGACGCCACGTGGTGCTTACAGTTTAACCTTAGTGCAACTAAAAGGAGGATCTCACAGTAGCTTACGTGTACTCCCGCGATCTCACAAACTCTCGCGATTACCAGAGCACGGGGTGGGGGGTTTGCACGGGAAAGTACCCCGCCTCCTAGAGTAGTACCCTAGTACTCCTTCCTAGATGCGGAAGGAGTACTATGGAGGTACTATAAAGTTAGTACATCTATGTGACCGACACATTTTTACACAGTGAAGAACATAAAATAACCTACATTATATTTACTACACCACTGTTTGTACCAGGCGAATAGCCATTTATGTTACCTGACTGACTGACCCAGTTTTCTGATTTAATAAAGTCATCCTTTTTTCTTGTTAATCAATAAAAACACAGGGCAGTCAGTCATATGAAACACACACACTTGTCGGAGGGTTCTGATTGGCCGCTGCGGGTTGGGAAGTGATCCAGATGAGAGCTAAGGAAAGCAGGCTCCCCTGGATGAAGTTTGTCACCAGCACGCTGTCCTAGGATTTCCCAAATAAAACACCAGACTCGCTGGTTGACCTCTCAACCCTGCAGTTACTTTCTGCCCCTCAGGACTGTGCACTCTGAGCACGGTCAGGAGCTGAAGTTATCAACTCTGTGGAGTGGCACTGGTAACAAATTGTGTTTGCCACATGCACTCTTCCCTCTTCTTAGCCAAGATAAGACCTGTATAAGCTCACTTGGGCAAAGCGGGGAGGCAGACAAGGGCTAATTTTGCTTGATAATTTGTTGGTACTTTTATATATCATGGTATTTACATGCTTATTTTTACTTATTTTACTGTTTGGATTTGTTAGAACCTTTATGGAGAAATATGGCAGTGACTTTACAGTCACTGAGGGTGGAGAGATGTGGGAGATCAAGAGGATTAAAAGATGACAGCAAGTCTTATTCTAATGCCTGTAGTCTTTAAATTTAAGCTCATTTCAGTTAGATATGCTATATTTTACTTATGTTACCTATTATATTTTTACTTATTTTACACTTATGTTTTATTTCATTTGATTGTAATGTTTATATCTTATTTCAATTCAGTCATCAGTACTTGTTATACTTGCTCAGTAGTGTTGTGCAGTTTATATCTTATTTCAAATCAGTCATCAGTACTTGTTACACTTGTTACTCAGTAGTGTTGTGCATACTGATGACCAAGGATGACAACTCTGATTGACCGGGAGATGACCCCGGCATCCTAGAGTAACCTGAGGGGGTTTACTAGTCTGTTAGTTGGATGGCTGCCCAGTTTGCAGCCCAGACCAAAAGGTGGCACGAGGACACCTGCCACACCTCAGAGAGGGAGAGATAGAAAAGAGTCTTTGTAAATATTCAGTGTTTTCAAGATGTCATCCTGTGACAGGTTGAGTTTTTCATGTTTAGTAGCTTTAAGACGACACCCTGTGACAGGTCAGTTTGTTTATGTATCATCTCTCAATGAGTAGGATACATGTGTGACACAGTGTTATGTTGCCTGTTATTGTTTGTCGCCTTAGTGGAGTTTTGGGCATGTTCATGATGGTTGTAGGTGTCATTAATCACAGACAAGTGTCAAGAAGATATGGTTTGCTTATTATTTTTGTTTTACAGGTTTTGAAAGGGTGACTAAGGCTGACCTCTCTGGGTTCAAATACAATGGTGTCTGTGGCACTGGAGGTCAAAGAGAGAAAGGTGCAATAGAACATGTTAGACCAGGAGGTGCATGTAGAGAGTATAAAAGATACTGCAGGAGCTCTGTAAACTGTTCTGCTTCACAAACCAGAAACAGAGATATTGCCATTTGACCTTTTACAATAAATCCTATGCCTTGCTTCAGACTGAAGACACTGTTTTTTTTTAAAAGACAAGGACATTTTTACTGGTGAGTGTTACAGCCACATATAAGTCAATGTACAAAGACACAGAGTCAAAGCAGGACAGATGAGCCACGATGACTGGTGACAAAACCTGGTGAAACAGTTCCTGGTCCAGATTCAGACTGATCAGGAGTTTCTCCAGCAGCCGTGCCAGAACCGGTCCAGACTCTGTGCCCATAAAGCGTGTCTGGACAGACTCTGGTTTCTGTTCTGCTGGGACACTGAGTTGCCGCTGGGAAACAGAGCTGAAGAGGAACAAGACAAGAACACATCAGTATTGATCTGTTGGTGAGATGTTGTGTTATTGCTGTGAATGGGAAAAGGAACCAGTGAGTCCAGCTGTCAGATAAATGCAGTGGAGTAAAGTAGCAGTAGCTCAGACTGCACTTCCTGTGAGTCCAAGACTGGAGGAACTGGACTCAGTGACTTTCCACCACTGTAGATGTACCTTCACACTGTGATCACTGACAGTCTCCAGGACACATTACTACCAGCCTCTTCACCTGCACCTGACCCACACACACGTCTCCATAATATAAAGCTGTGAGAGGCCGGTTCACACAGAGCGGGGCTACAGGGTGGCTGGATACTGGCCTGACTGACAAAAAGCTGTGTCTGTGGAGACCCTCATTCAGCCAGGTCATGGTGGATTGTAGTGGTTAAAACAAACAAGCTACAGTTAATATGCAATATGTAGTAGAATACAGTGAAGGTGTGTAGATTACATGTAGTTACTATATGTAGTAGTCAATTAATAACTAATTTCTGCAAGCCCTCTGTACTATGTCAGCTCACTGTGTAAATAGTTTGTGTGTGCTGAAGCAAGAACATTTTGGGTTCATGGCCTGTTTGTTTAATCCATTGGGTCATCCTGATCTGGAGATGACCTGTTAACTAGGTTCGGGAATTGGCGGGGGAGACAAAAGTGAGCAGTGTACAAAAGGAGGCAGTATACTGCTGCAGTAGAGTAGTGTAGTGTGTGTGCGTGCGGAAGAAGGATGGAGAGTGAGACCCCGGCCGGGGGACATGACAGACTTGACTGTGCTTATGACCTTATGAAAAGAGACTAACTGACTCTGAAAATCTTCTTGTCTAATACTGCATTTATTTCATGCCGGAATGGTGACTCTGGCCCCTATCTCTTAGCCTGTTGAATTGTCTGCCAAACTATTGAACTGCCTTGAATTATTGTAATATTAAATTATCATTGTAATTGGAATGATTTGTCTGAATTAATTTAGCTCACATCAGGCCCTAGCCACCACAGGATCCAAGGGGCTAGTGTTGGACCGTGGACTTGTTCCAGTCCTTGAAGAGGTTTCAGCTCTCATCCCAAAAGCTCCTTCAGTTCTGGCCAACTGGTGGGGAGTCCCAGAGTCTCACAGATCCATGTGACCAGGTCATGAGGCTCCTGCTGAAGCAGTCAAATGCATTGTTATATCAGAAGTACAGTGGGATTTCTCCTGAGTCTCGTCCTTTCAGCACTCACATGAGGAACCTTCAAGATTCTGAGGCCTTAAATTTGAGCAGCAGCTTCTGGACCTGTTGAACTTAAAGGTTCTGTGGACCCCTTGGAACCAAACACAGCCTGTAGTTCTTTAAGACATGAATGCAGCTGGTTTCCAGAGATCAGATACAAATGTCACTGATACAGATTGTTGGGATGAAAGGATCAGGCTCATTTTAAGATCAGAGTTTATTGATGATGGTTTGAGGTCACAGCTGTATGGTTTCTCTCCAGTGTGAATTCGTTGATGTTGGCTTAGAGCACTCCTCTGACTAAAGGGTTTTCCACAGTGGTCACAGCTGTATGGTTTCTCTCCAGTATGAATTCGTTGATGCTCATTTAACTGACTATTCCTAGTGAAACTTTTTCCACAATGAACACAGATGTATGGTTTTTCTCCGGTATGAATTCGTTGATGTTGGCTTAAAGAACTCTTCTGAGTAAAGGTTTTTCCACAGTGGTCACAGCTGTATGGTTTTGTTCCAGTATGAATTTGTTGATGACGGTTTAAGCTAGTCTTCAGTGAAAATGTCTTTCCACATTGATCACAGCTGTATGGTTTCTCTAATGTATGAATTTGTCGATGCTCATTTAACTTACTTTTCCAAATAAAACTTTTTCCACAGTGGTCACAGCTGTATGGTTTTTCTCCAGTATGACTTTGTTGATGCCTGTTTAAGTGAGAATTCAGTGAAAATGTTTTTCCACACTGGTCACAGCTGTACTGTTTCACTGCAGTGTGGATTTGTTGCTGTTGCCTTAAAGTACTTTTATGAGTAAATGTTTTTCCACAGTGGTCACAACTGTATAATTTCTCTCCTGTATGAATTTGTCGATGCTCATTTAAGTTACTCTTCCAGGTAAAACTTCTTCCACACTCATCAAAACTGTATGGTTTCTCTCCAGTATTGCTTTGTTGATGGCAGTTTAACCTAGCCTTCAGTGAAAATGTTTTTCCACATTGTTCACAGCTGCATGGCCTCTCTCCTGAGTGAGATCTCTCATGAATCTTTAGGTATGATGGCCTTAGGAAGGCTTTGTCACACTGCTGACAGTGGTGATGAGTGGATGTCTTTGTGTCCCTCTGTTTCTATAATGACAGAGAGAGAGAGAGAGAGAGAGAGATGAAACCATATACAGTACGTACCATCATGACACCCTTTAATCATCAGGTCTCAGACAAAAGATAATTTCTAGAATAGTTCACATGACATTAAGTTTGCAGTGCCAAGAACTGGACATTAGACCTTAAACATCAAGTAGTAGATTGAGTAGTAGTCTAAAACTGATGTTTTAGACCCACTCAGGTACACTCAGGTTTGGGCTATCTTGACCATCGTGTCTGCACCATGAAGGCCTGGGCTGTGTCTAATTCAACATGGCTGCACATGTTTAGGAATTGCCTGAACAAATGAAACCAAGATCATGACAATTCATAAAGACAGATGACCGTAAGAGGTTTAAACTTGCGGTAAGAAGTTTAAACTTGTTTAGCTATTAGGTGCTCCTAATATTCTGACCCTATTCTGACTGATTCTTTGGAGCAAAGGTTTTTCTACACTGGTCACAGCTGTCCGGTTTCTTTCCAGTCTGACATCTCAGATGAATCTTTAGATCACACTGTGACAGGAATGCTTTGACAAGTGGGTGTCTTTTTATATAGCACTCTGCTTCTATAGTGACAGACATATGCAGAGAGATAAATCTCATGGTGGAATGAAGTCTGTAACCATATACACTGTGTGCACAATTATTAGGCAAGTTGTATTTTTGAGGATTAATTTTGTTATTGCACAACTACAGTGCTCTTGGTCAATCCAAAATGTTAACAAACCCTCAAACCTGAACATTTAAGTAGTAAAAGTGAAGTTTTGGCTTTCTTAAGAGAATATCTACATGTACACCATTATTAGGCAACTATTAGTGTGCAGAATTATTATGCAACTAAATAAAAAACAAAGATTTTCCAAGTCACATCACCAAAACTGTGTGTTATATAGTATTCTTCCCTCCTTCTAGCACATTCCTGCAGCTGGAAATGATCAGTACTCTCCCAAAGATATTCCTGCAGGATGCAGCTGACAATTATCAATACTTTTCCAAAGATATTCCCCCAAGCACAACTCCCTAATTCCAACGTAGTACATTCTGTAATTAAATGAACACACATATTGCTAATGAATTGAGTGAACACACACACTTACTTCTACTAAATCGAAGGTTATATTCCTTATTAGTACATTTATATAAAACAGTGCTCATGCTTTAGTCTGAGTGAAAGTTGTATTCCTTATAAGTGCATAGAAAATGATGCTGGTGTTTCAGTTACAATGTCTATTCCTTATATGTGCATAACAAATGGTGCTGGTGCTTGAGTTGCAATGTCTCACACAACTTAATATCCCACAGAGGCATGTGAAAGGCATCAGCAGCTGCACCAGGGCCCTGCACCAGCTGCCCTGCCACAGTGAGGAGAGACTTGGTCTCAGCTTGCTGTCTCCGCATGTTCACCATGTGTTTGCCCTTGAGATGGTTTGGTTCACAAACCGGGTGGCAGAATAGTGATGTTGAAGGTTTCCTTGCACCAGGCCGGCAGCAGGTAGTGGGCATTCTTGCCGGTAACAGAGCGCACAAAGCAGGTATAATTTTCAGGATATCAGCTGCTAATGGAAGAACATCTCCTTTGTCTCACCGGTGGAAAAAGTAAAAAGAGATTAACATTGTTCAATGGTTAGAGGAAAAGACTTATCATGCCCTTATGTTATACATGGTAATCCTATAGTCTGCCAATTCTTTCAATTGACTGGGGGGCTGTTCCTAATTGTAGTCCCACAGTAGAACAAATACAAACAATATAACAGCTAACATTGCTTTGCCTTGCAGTATCAAATCAAGTCAAATCAAATGTGTGTATATAGCACCTTAAAAACATTCAGCTGACCAAAGTACCATTCATAGCAAAATAGAATCACAATAGATGACTAAAATAGAGTAATTAAGATCAACACAAAAATAAAAAGAGAAATAAAAGCACAATATCACAAATACACAGTTAACATATGTTCAACAAATTAAAGCCAGAAGGAAATAAAAAGAATGCATCAGGCTTACTGTTTTTCATAAGCCAAGCCAAATAAATATGTTTTAATCAATTATTTAAAACCACTGAGGTCAGTAGCTGACATTAGAAGGTAGACTGTTCCACAATTTAGGGGCTGCAACAGTAAAAGCACAGTCACCCCAGCGTTTATATCTGGCTCTAGGAACTTCTAAAAATACTGACTTGAGGAACTGAGGGACCTTGTAGGTTTGTGCCAATGCACTACTTCAGTGAGGTAAAATGGGGCTAAACAGTAAACATCATTTGTTCAAACCTTTCACTTTTGACAACACATCCTAATTCTAAGGTCATTACATCCTGTTTAGTGAGGTCTTTCAACCATTATACTCTTTTTTTTCCACTAAAGATGCAATAATACTGTGAAAACTACCTAAGGGAGGAGATTTGACATCTCTTTCTCAGTTGGTTTTCTGACTCTTCTTCTACCTGTCCCTGCATATTTTGTATCACACCCTATGCACCCTTCGGTCGATGGTTTCTTCACTGAGTTTGAGACGACTCTTCCCTGTTGGAAAAAGTCAGGCTTGCCTTAGGGAGCCATGGTGTGTAGCTAACTGTCCCTGGCCTGTGTTATGAAAATAAGAGCGTCACCAGCTTACAGTTGGATAGATGACTCTAGGCTCTCCTCTCAGCTATTGTTTGTTTTGTGTGGTGGTGAGCAATACCTGGTATGGATTTTGCTACTTTGGACTGAACCAGTTTTTTCTCTTAATCACCTTCAGTAGCACCCTCTCTACAGATTTCATAGTTTTGATTTGCAGCTCCACTGGTCCTCCTGGAATAGAACTAGCACAAACATTTTATATCATATACTCTTCCAAGGCTTGTTCAGCCTCTTCATCTGGGCACTGGAAAGGTTTTAATTGTGAAATAATGCGCAGACTGCAGTGTTTTCAATAGCTTCCTCAAGACCAAGTAGCTGTGTATATAAGTGCAGGAGTACTAATGGTAGACAATAATCCTATTTTTTTCAGTTTCTTCCCGTTTTCCTCAATTGTGCTTTACGAGTGCCATTCTGTCTTCCTACTAACCTTGCAGGTTGTGGATGATATGCATGGTTCAGGTCTATGTGTAAAGTTTTGGACTAACAATGGTATTGCACGGTGTACAGTTTGAACTCCTCCCCTCTGGACGGCGTTACAGGTCACTGTGCACCAAGACAACCAGGCACAGGGACAGTTTCTTCCCCCTGGCTGTCACTCTGATGAACACTTAACCAGTGACCATATGATTGGATAGTAATCCTCAGGGCAATACCTGTGTATTGTGGAGTGTTGAAGTATTCTTTTAGTTCCTAAGTGTTTCTCTTGCATTGTGGTGAGCCCATATTGTACGCTTAACACAAAAATGTTGGAGTAGTTTGAAAATTCATATGCTGTAAACACTTTGCCTCGTATGGCTGTCCCTGTCCCTATCTATCTCCCCCTTTTTTGAGGCATGACTTGTTCCATGCCTCAAAATTGCAGCATATCTAAAAAAGACTACTATTTGATAGGCTGGGTTTCCCTTCTGATATTTCATATAGTTCTGTTGTTTCATTAAAGGTTGTCTCCCTTTTCTGCCACCTCTGAAGGTCAGCTTGTGAGGCAGCCTTTGAAGTACAAATTCATGATAAGGACCCCCTTCTTGGCATAACAGTAGAGCAATTTTTAGTTAAAATCTAACTTGAGCCAGGTCTTCCTGACTGTAGGTTTTGGGACAAAACCAAACAAACAGATATTCAAAAAAAAAAACCTTTAAGAACTTCTAACAGCACCATGAGGAATTCATGTTCCTCTTTTACAGACAAATCATGTGCGTGTTCTTTGTTAAGCCATATGAAACAATCCAGCTCAACAAAATGTTTGATCTGATGGAGATGGGTAGTCTACTGTCAGCATTTCTTTTTGTTGATTTCTTAGCTTTATCATTAGTTTCATAGTTGCTGTATGGTATGGGATTTATTCTCCCTGTAGCTAATTTACACGTCAATGCCACAAACTCATCAGGTTGGACAGAGTAGTGTCTTAGTGGGGGTTTGCTATTGTTAGGTATTTTTAGTCAGATAGATATTGGTTAGATACTTCCACTCTGGAAATTGATGGATGTGACATTTTTGACTGTTCTGGTTGGCCCATAGTCAGTTTGAGGCACTCCGAACAGTACATCTGTATAGTGCCTGAGCTTCACTTTGACCAGCGGTCAAGGCTTGGGTTTAATCTTTGTGAATGGGGGGATGTGGGTTGGAACACCTGTCCCACATCCTGGGGTTACCGACCACCTCAGAATCAGAGACACAAAAGTAAGGGAAAGACTTTGTTGGATCGGCTCTCTATGATTAAAGGTGAAGCCCCAGGAAATTGTAGAACTGACAAATGTGTTCCTTTGTTAATAAAATAAATTTCGTTCCACTTCATGATTGTGTCCCACTTGTTGTTGATTCTTCACAAAAAAATACAGTTTTATATCTTTATGTTTGAAGCCTGAAATGTGGCAAAAGGTCGCAAAGTTCAAGGGGGCCGAATACTTTCGCAAGGCACTGTATATACATTGTACAGATTATACAGACTCGTACAGGTCTCTAGTTCTCACATACTCTGTCTTATCCCTATTTACCTCATTTCAATGAACATTCCTTTGTTGTTTGCGTTGTTTACTGTCTGTTTATACTGCTTATTCTGCATTGTTTGCACTGTTTGTTGATGTTGATGTTAATACTGCTGTTTTGTTATATTACACAACCTTATGCTGGTTTACTGTTTTGCACATTGAGAGCTGATGTACCAGAGTCTAATTCCTTGCGTGTCCGTCGCACCTGGCCAATAAAGCAGATTCTGATTCTGATTCTAATCCTACCTACCTTAATATAGCTCACCTCCAAAATGCTCCAGCAATCCTGTTACAAATCTACCATATAGATTAGACCTAAAAAATGACAGCACTGAACCTACAGAAGAAAGAAAGGAATCAAATATTTATGAGTTCATTTTAACTTGCCATCTAATGTGTAGAAAACTGCTAGGAGGAACAAACCCGACAATAATGCTGATAAA